TTGCTACTTTAAGGGATAAAATGTAGGAAATTCCCTAATTTTGGTCTAAAAGACAAGAACTTCCTGTGAATATGTAAAAACTGGAAGGCAAGGACAATGTGACAGGAACTGCTGGCACTGGAACTGTCAATGGGCTGATCTGAGCACATGGAATTAAGAGATAACATTTTTAGGAAGTTTGCAATTCACAACATGGCAACCTTTCCTAACTGCTAGAAATCCCTTCATATGGCATTCAACAAAATTAGGGTGATTTCTTATTTCTCTAGGGGCAAACTGTCATGGAAAATGTAAAAAAAAAATAAAAAAAAATAAAAAAAAATAAAAAGATGGTTTTGTAAAAACAACCCAAGGCCAACCAGAATTTCAGCGGAGATAAAAAAAAAGGGGGAGGAGTGAAGGAGATAAAGATCAAATGTTAGCTTCCTCCTGTGAAATAAATACACAATTTTCTGCCCAAAACAGCCGTGCAAGTTGAATTTTAGGGGTGTCCTGGCCCAGGAACTTGGCTGAGATGCCCAGTTTGATGTGTAAGCAGTTAATGAGCAGCAAGGACAGCCAGAAGCCTGAGCTATTGTATGAAAAATAGCCCTGCACCGTGGTTATTTTAGGGAGCAGGCGTGTGCTCCAGGATTTGCTGGATAAATGTCACTCTCTAAAATTTAACACGGCCCTGCAGTGGGTTTGGAGTGTGGAAAAAAGCGTTTAAGTGTTGCAGCAAATTAAAAAAAAAAATAAATAAATGACTGAGGAGTTTCCCTGCCTTTCTGACAGAGTCACACGTGGTGTTACCTGTGTGTGTGTGTGTGTGCATCTTGAACCTACCCTGCTTCAGCTCTTTCCCCTTCAAATTCTGCACCAAAGCACCCAAATTCCAGCCTGTGTCTTCTCATGAACCTCATTTTTCACATTCTCTGTGCATTCCTAAAATTGTCTACTCAATAGTAACAAAATTTATAGCAAAAAAAAAAAAATTTAATATCTAAGGCAAGAGGTTACCAACCAACCTCACAACCCAGAGCAATTCATTACTCCCACTTCCAATATTTTTGCCAAAAGTTTGGACATAAATGAATAAGAAATTTTTATTAATCTAACTGGACATGTTAAAAATCCAGGTGTTGCAGACTTCTGGGAAACCTGGTTGATGTTTTAATTAATACAGGGACATAAAGTCTTAACTTTTGAAACATTGGAATGTCTGCATATAAAAGACTGGAATATTATGGAAAACGAGGCTAGTATAGAACAGCCACGAGAATGCCAAAATTCTTATCCAGACAACTTGAAGCTCCAACCAGCACTCCTGGCCGAGCGTTTGAAGGTGAGGATTGATACCTAGCTTTAAAATTTGACAATTTCCCAAGGAAACCCCAAGTTAATTATGCACACTGCTGCGTTTAGGAAGCACCTTCACAGCTCGAATAATTGAACCACCAAAAAGTTCAGGGGCTCTGTGCTACGAGCCAGAGCTGCTTCTCAACTATGCGAGCAAAAAAAAGAAATATATAAAAAATTTTTTTAAAAAAAGAGAGGGGGGGAAAAAAGCGATTTAAAAAAAAAAAATTATCTTGCTATGAAGCTTAGGGCGTTCTTTATTTAATCAGGTATCCTGGAGACACGCAGCAACTGGGCCCTAATCCTGACTCAGGCTTTTAGGGGCTGCTCGCAGCGATGGTTCCTGCAGGAATTCCGGCGAACCCAGCCCGAGCCGGAGCCGCTGGGGCCGGCCCGAGCCCGAGGAGCCCCCGGAGCGGCGCGGGCCGGGCGGGGCCGCTGCCCCTCGCTCGGCGGGGCCCCCACAGGCCCGGCCGCGCCCGGCGCACGGCGCGGCCTCGGCGGCTCCTTCCTCTCTCCCTCCCCGGCCGGCCTGCCCGCCTCCCCTCCCGGCAGCGCCGCTCCCGCCTCCCCGCGCCTCAGGGCCGCGGCCGGGCCCCGCCGCGCTCACCTCCAGGTCGCGGCCTTTGTTCTTGAAGTTCTTGAGGCGCTGGTTGTCCAGCTTCTCGTTGTCGGCCATGGCGGGGGCGGCCAAGGAGGAGCGCGGCCCCTCCGCCTCCGCCCGGGCCCGAGCGCGCCGGGGGCCCGGCGGGGCCCGCTCTCGGCCTCAGCGAGCCGGGAAGGGCCGGGGCGAGGGGGGCGCCGCTGCGGGGCCGGGTGGCGGGGCCCGGAGCGGAGCCGGGCGCGGTGCGGCGCGGCGCTGCGGGACCCGGAGCGGGGCGGGTCGGAGCGGGCCCGGGCCGGTGCCGGCGGCCCGAACGCGCCGGTGCCGCCGAGCGGGGGAAGGGACGGGGCGAGCGAGCGAGGAGGGAGGGAGGGGGAAACAGGGGCAGCCTCGCTCTGAGCGCCAACGCCCATTGGCTGCGCCCCGCGCGCCCCGCGGCCAATGGCGACCGGGAGGGAGAGGGCGGGAGCGGTGACGCAGCGCGTGAAGGGGGAGGGAAGGAGGAGCCGCCTCAGAGCCGCCGCCATCTTGGGTGCCGGGCGCTGAGGGGAGGGGCGGCGGGACGGGCGCTCCCCGCGCCTGCGCTGCGTCCGGCCCGGCCGCCCGGGGTCGGTTTTAATCCGTTCCGTGTGGAAGTTAACATTTTAATCCTTTCCCCTGCTATGCTTTCCCTTCGCTCCCCTCGTGGAGCCGACAGTTAACAGTTTAATCCTTCCGCTTGCTGCGCTTGGCCTTCACTCCCGTCATGGAGCCGAAAGTTAACGCTTTAATCACTCTCGCCACTACGCTTTGCATTCAGTCCTCTCACAGAGCCCAAAGTAAACAGTTTAATCCTTCCCCTCACTAAACTTTGCATTTGCTCCCATCATGGAGTCAAAAATTAATTCTTCCCCTCATTACATTTTGCATTTATTTGCATCGTGGAGCCGAAAATTAACACTTTAATCTTTCCCTTCACTACACTTTGCATTCCCTAAGAATAATCCCCCTTCCATTCTTCCAGAATTTTAGAGTAAAATAAAAAAAAAAAGCTGCGACAGAAACTTTTACATTTTTGTCGAAATAAGATAAATAGTATTGAAGGCACTAGAGAGATACACTTGCAGAGCAGACGGATGGTAATTTTGTTCCTACTTCTCAAATTTTACCTAGAAAATAATGCCCTGCCCTGACCCTGCGTGTAGTCTCTACTCAATTTTAATGATTATAAATGAATTCTGTAAAAGTCTTCCGCGTTGATAGAGCTCATTGTAAATTTCCATGATACTTTTTTGGGAAAAATCAAAGTTACGACAGGAGATGCAGCTTCCCAAGTGGGAAAATGAAATCACCAAGTCTCAGAGACGAGGAGTATCAGGAAAGAGAATTTGGTTTAGCTCCTTGGAAAAACACAATGATTTTTCAGACTGTGACGAGCTGTGTGTTTTATCTCTATAAATCCAAAGGCTTGGCTCTAGATAGTTCTCAAAAAAAAAAAAAAAAAAAAAATCCCCAAAAGTGACAGGAGCTGAGTCACCACAGCCCCATCTGCTGCATAAATGTAGCAGCGATGTCACAGCAATAGGAGGAATTATTATTGTCACAGCGATATGAAGAATTATTATTGTCACAGCAATAGGAGGACCCCTGTCAATTAGTCAGGGTTAATTAGTGCTGGTGGAATTCCATATTTCTTGTCTAACAGTATGGAAAACATTTTGTCCGAACCTGGTGTAGGGACAGCAGCCCTTTCACATCCTAATCTGGGTGGACACAAATAACATTTTCCTGATACAGCTATTTACTTTTTTAAAGTGTAATGCAGATTTTCCATGTAGCAACGTTGTAGCAGATTCCACAGAGATAAAATTTTTAAGAATAGTATCTTTAGTTAGTGCTCTGTTTCATTTACAGGCTGAGAGGGTTGGGATTGTCCAGCCTAGAGAAGAGAAGGATCCGGGGAGAGCTCAGAGCTCCTTCCAGAGCCTAAAGGGGCTCCAGGAGAGCTGGAGAGGGACTTTGGACAAGGGATGGAGGGACAGCACACAGGGAATGGCTTTAAGATGAAAGGGCAGAGGTTTAGATTAGATATTAGGCAGAAATTCTATGATGAATAATGAAATTGGACTCTGGTACTGCATGTTCCATTCCTGCCCAGCGTTCAGAACTAGTCAGAATACCACGGCAAAAAAAACACCCAGCCTGGAATTTTATGGAAGGAAATAAATCCCTTTTATTCCATCACCACCTTTTCCATGTCTTTGTCCCCTCAGAGTGCTCATCCCACCTCCCTTAGCCCGGAGAGAGCCCTGGGGGTGACCTGGAAAGGATGGGATTGGAAAGGCAGCAAATCCTGAGCTGACTCAGTGCCCAAACACTGCCTGCATGTATAGCAGCTTTAAATAAACGACTCAGAAAAATGGAAAAACGTGCAACTAAAACTAAACCTCAAAATGTAGAGCTTAATGGACATAACATACATAACATACAGCCTGAAAATTAGGTATATGTTAAGTCTCTTGCAAAAAAACCCTTGAAATCACAATAAGAAGGACCATACCAAATACTTCAAACCACCTTTACTGCAATTAAGATTAAAAAAATGCTTAAATACACCACACTCGAGTGAAAAAAACTCCCAAAACTCCCTAAAAAGTAACACCAAGCAATAATAAACTAAAGCTAAAATTCACCCAAACGAAATGAGTACATTTCAATCAAGAACTTTAAAAAAATCTAATTAAATTATATAATTGTAATATTAATTTTAGTTAATATAAGCTTTGTAGTATCTCTTATGATATGCGTTTAGAATTAGAAAATGTTGAAAACATCATTTTAACCTCATTGTCAAAAGTGCATTAGAAAAGCATCAAGAGACACCTATTATAACAATTAACAATATAACACCTGGCTGCACCACTGGCTCTAACACCCCGTTTCCTTTTTATGTAATTCCATATAACAATATCCAAAACATGCTTTCCTCTTGCTTCATTATGCAGGAAGGCAATCCTTGGGTGGTATTTTGATCTGGTAACATCCAAAGAATAATTTATATTGTGACTTCACTGTAGACATAATCAGAGATGAATCAAGTGCATTTTGTGTAGCTGTAATGTAATTAAGCTGCTTGGTTCTCAGAGGAACAATTACCACATTAGTTTTGTTTGATTTTACCTCAGGTCCACAGTGTAAAAACATCAAAAACCAATTTTGAAGGGTAGACCAGTTCCCCTCTGAATCCCTGATCCAGTGTCAATGAGCTGTCTTTAAAAAAAAAACCAAAACTGGATATTTTGATTCTGAATGAGTTTGTTTTTTTTTTTTTTACTAAATGTAGGTGCCTACAACATAATAAATTATGCAGAAAACACAAATTCTCGTGGTATGATGCTGTTCAGACTTCATGTGATGCTACAGAACAAAGCTCTGCTTCTTTGATATTTTTTGCATCTTTTTGAGCTTGGAAAATAATAATGCAAATATAAAGGTGGGAATTAGGCTCTGCTCGCCTTCCTATCCTTCCAGCAACAGATACATTTGTTTTACAAAGAGTTTACATTTTGTTTCCAATTCACAATTTGTGAATTTTGCACCTCATTATGCAATTAGAAAATGCTTAATTCTCAGGTTACCTTAAATGTCTCTTTTGAGTAACAATGTGAATTGATCTGAATGCTTTTACTAATAGTAAAAGCATTTATATCTATATTTAGTATGTTTATTTTATATATATGTTTATTTATTATATTTTTACCATTAGTAAAAATATATAAGATATATTTACTAAATGTACACTTAGGTGGAAAAAGCTCCTGCTTTTTGTAGGCCTGTCTCCTTCCTATAAGAAACAAAATGTTATGTAAAGCTGCAAAGATTTTTTTGTTACAAAAAACAGAAAAAACACCCATTAATCCCGGGGTTTATACAAATGGAATAGCTGGTATTAACAAAGGAGCAGCCCACTGCTGGCAGGATATTTTATAATAATAATCTTTCAGCTGTGTGCAAACCCAGACTTTTGCAAGAGACAGGTTTGAAGGGGATTTTGGATGGGAGTAGGAATGAAAGATTCTGCCCACGGACACAGAACAGCTCTGCTGTGCTCACACTCACTCAGGGGCTCCTCTCTTGTGGAGGAAACTTTTTTATTCAAAAGCTGTCGAGTTCCTGTGCTTGCTTCCCCTTGGGTTTGTTCATCTAGAACCACTGCTTACCCTGTATTCTGCTTTTTTTTTTTTCCCCTTTAGAAAAGAAGAAGTATTTACACTTCGAGAAAAATACACCTCAAAAAGCTACTTAAAAACTCGCTTTTTAAAAACAGTTTCTCGAAGCAATGGTTTTGCTTTCAAACCAATACAACTGCACATGCTTGAAAAGGAAAATCACCTTCAAATGTTCCCAATGTGACAGAATCCAAAACCTTCCCATTCCTCACCCTTTCGTCCCGTGCCGTGGGACTCTGAAACTCCTGCGGCTGCTCTGGGATGTTCAGGGAGCCACGGGGCTGCTCCTGCCACTGATTTCCTTTGGGATCTCTCCCTCATTCCCACTGTCCCTGGGCCCTGTCCCTCCCAGCCTGAACATTCCAGATGTGTAACACCCCCTAACGAGCACCTTTTTCATGCTTAAAGGCCTTCGGATATTTTAATCCTCTTTTGTTTTTTTTTTTTTTGGGAAGCTACCGTGGGATAAGTTGTGTGATAACTCCCAGAATTCAGCGTCTTGCAGAGGAGAGGCTGCAGCTCCCAGAGAATGGAAGGAGGGAGGGAGGGAGGGAGGGAGGGAGTTCCTCCAGCTCCAGTGGCCCTTGGCTGGTTCACATCAGCCCAACATCTGCTCCTGAGATCAGGAAATCAGCCCAGGGCTCCCACATGACGGCTTCAGCCTGCTCTGGTCCCACTTTAAATCACTTTTTATTTCATGCAGCATTCGCTCGAGGGATTGCCTTTCATTTACATTGGTGCCTTTGCTACAATCCAGCCCGTAAATGCTCAGTTTTTAACGTGCTAAATCAGAGCTTTTGCAGACAAATTTATAGGTCATGATGTGACCATTGGCAAAAATGTTCCTTAGTACAAGAGCTGGAGTAGATCCCAAAAATCCATCAGCTGCAAAGAGCCCAGGAAGAAAAGGAATCAATCCTCAATCAGCAGATTGTGGAGCTGCACTTCCCTGCTGGTGTCTCAGCTGCTTTTCCTTTCCAACACAATTTCCTATTACAGGAAAGAGAAAAGATTTGTTTGAGATAAAAAGTGAAGAAATGATTACTGACATGAGCCATGGCAGTGTGCCCTGGAAGATCCAAGGATGTGATTTTTCCATGTTAAAACAAATCCTTGTTAAAACAAATCCCACCATCCAGCTGATGGTGACAAAAAAAATAAATAAAAA